CCGGACCCTGTGCAGAAATCGAATCAAATCATTTAGACATTTACTTTGCATCGCACCCCTGTGCGACGGCTCCGGACCGTGCGGTGACTCACAACGAACGGTAGTTACCGTAGATAGTCTAAATTACCTTGAGAGCGACGTCTTCGTACGGAGGGCCGGCGTGGAATCGGAGGATGGCAAGGCAAAGCCGGGGTGATCGACCTTCTCCAAGAAATACTTGAGGGTATCCCCGCGATCGATCAGGTCAGGGTAGAACATGTTGAACTTGTAGCCCTGCGGCGAAGATTGTTGAAAGGGAAAACGCGCGGAAGGATACAGGTTAGCCGCCACCGAGGTTGGAATACATATATTTTTTATCGCACCCGAGAGCGAGAGAGCGAGCTGGTGCGGGTGAACTACAAGAGGTGGCAAAAAAAACGCGCCAGGCCTGTGGTGCCCGTTGTGTAGGTTCAAAGATGTCCATACGGCATCATCTGCCCCACAGCTGTTGAAGACGTGGAACTTGCGAGTACATCTTATAGGCACGGCACATCGATAGGACACGCATATCTTCACACCCTGCCATATTTTTGACGATAGGCTCGACCAGACCTGTACTACTGCTGTCTTGTGTGTGTTAGGTGTGGGCCGTATGCCTATGCTTATCAATCTAATTGTAGACACAACCGTTTTTCGTGCAACCTTCTCCTGTGTCGGAAACTTCTTGTCAGTAAATGCTTGCTCGGACACCCTGCCCGCCCCACGTATCAATAAATAGGTCAAATTCGTCGAGCAGCATGGCGAGGTGCCCAACGCTACGGCGGCGTTCGTGCGGTTCGCGATTGCTGCGGGCGGGGGCATCTTTACCCTTCGCTGACTTCCGCCGAAAAGAGGTTTTATTCGCAGGTAACGGGCCAGATCCCAGATACGTTGTTGTTGTTGTTGTTGTTGTTGTTCTCTTCACATTAAAACCGTTCCGATCTCGCTCTACCCAGTACCTTCGTATGTCCGTACTGATCCAACACTCGACGCGGTCGATTCCCGTGGTCACAAAAAAAGGTACACTCAAATAAGCTGGCCCCGAGGGGTCCGCAAGTCAATAGAAATCAACGACAGATATTCTGGAGTCCTCCACTCCCTCTGCGCGCTATGCGAGGTATCAACTGAGACTAGGAGTCACTATCACGGGCAGGAGAGACAGAGGTACACTCCCCTGGTTCAATCTTGGTACTTCACAACGCAAGCACAGACAAGGCCATCTGGCACAGAAAAAGAGAGAAAAAAAAGAGAGAAAACAGAGATAAAGGAAACAGTAAGGAAAGAGAATATAAGATGAAAAAGAGCGAGGACAAAAAGGGACCAGGCCGAAAATATCAAGAAATAAGAAATAAGAGGCAGAAAAAGGCACACGGTGGAGAGACCACTAACGAACAAGCAAACACGCAAACATGGCCACCAACCAGCGACAGGGTTAGACCACGACGAACGATTGTCGAGACCGCCATTTATTTTCCCGGTTTTCTGACAAAATGCAAAATGACTATTGCTATTGAACTGGTATACTTGTAACATTTACGCTTTGGTGACAGTACGAATGACGACTGGTGTTGAAAATCTCTCCACGCGAAATGCCTGGGGAAGGGCGCGGGGGAACCAAAACATACCGCTCCCCGCCTCCGGGATGTAATTATTGGTTTCAGAAGTCTTGTGCATATGCATACGTACCTCTGCATAGTTGTGGTTATATCTCGAACGGGTAGTCTTTCTGTGTTTGTATGTATTTTTCTTAATAGTTTTGCCGAGTTCACGAAGTTTGCTCTTTTTTCGTTTTCGGTAGACGATTCGGTGTGGAACGAGTTCAATGCTCAACGGGATGATTTGGACATCCATACTTCACTACTATAGAGAATGACGCGACCGCGAAAAAGAGGCTCAAGGAGGAAAAGGGTACAAGCGTAAATTAACGTGCATACCTTTAAACAGCTCAATGACACTTGCGTCAGTCGCTGGTTTTTGCATGCTGTGGGCACCTTGACCACGCACTCATTGAGAGAGGGGTGCACCATTGGTAGCTCCAATTTCTGCTGCGATGTTCATTGCGTGGAAGCTCTGTCTCATCTACCTCGTTGCCGCCCGTAAGTTACAAGACCTTGACTCTTGGCGGTTGCACTCACTCATGGAGACACACTCGCGCGCGGTTCCGTCCATGCCTGTACCAGATAAGATGGCACTACCGACCGACCGTAGTATAGTGCTACAGCCGCACACGCATCATGCTACAGTACTAGGCGGTGGTTCTGGCTACATAGTTCACGCGTTGTCTTGTTTATGCCACACTTTTCTCGACACCGCTATCGCTTTTCCTCTCGCACGAAAACCAGGCATGGAAATAGGGGTGTGGGTTGTTCTCGGGTACTTCACTCAGGCCATCGGCTTGGAAACCTCGGATGCCTCCGTCTACTGCGCCTTTCTCTGCAGCTTGTCGGTGGTGAGAGCAGAGGTTCAACAGGACGTGATCCCTTTCTGGACCCACGAATTAGACAAAGACATCCCCTCCGCGGGAATGCTGCATAACTGCCGTGCTGCCGCCGACACCAGCGGAGACAACGCGCCTGGCAGCAGCACAAGATAAAAGAAAATGGTACCACAGAAAACTTTCCATGCACTTGGGGACAATAATGTAGAATTGTGCGGACAGGCCGTCGGGTTCGGCGTGGCTTTCACACGGATTGAGGTTGGTGCCGTTTTTTGTTTTCGTGGACGCCATGTACCGCTGCTGTCTCCCTCTCGCTGTTTGTCGTTGCCCGTGTGGAGGCCTACAGAGTAGCGTACAACGTTTCATAGAGGTACACGAGTTGTCGTTCTTCACTCCGTGAATAGAAGCACCGTATGCATTCCTTGTCATCTTCTTCTTTGCATCCTTCGGTATTTAGCTGACCGGCCTATCGCGGACACATGACTCTACTCCAAGCAAACTCATGCCCTAACGCTCTGCACGCGATCGTGTTGTTTTTGCGTGTCCGTTCGGCAATACATGGAAAAGTTCCCGGGGAAGAGCTTACAGCTGTCCATCGAGCAGCTGATATCCGTCGCCGCACTGACAGGAATCTGGTGTATCTTTTCAGCCGGCGGCCATCTTGCAGGTTTCAGGTGAGCCATCCGCGATACACGTAGTACGTAAAGTTATCTCACCCTCGAGAGGAAAAGATCAGGAAGGTAGTGAAGACCTCTCGCTTGAAGTGATTCTCTAACGAGTCGTTACAAACATGCTGCTTTCTCTACACCCAGAGAGGGATATCCCACAACCTGTGAAGCTGTGCCTCAATGATCGCTTCTCCTTCTGTGTTTGTTTTCCGCTTAGCTTCGTCAAAGATCCTCAAATTTTGGCTGCTTTGAGCTACACCGGGCTGGTGACCACCTCGCTCGCTATTTGGCTGGAGACTGTTTGCCTGGAGAAAGTACCTGCGACTGAAATGAGGTGAAGCCCTGTTTTGCTTTGTCCTGACTGTAGCCGGAAACTTTGATCAAACGGCCGAAGGACATGTTTTCGCTCGAGTTAACGGACGGGCGCCTTCCGCACCATCTTTGCGAGAAAGCGTGTCAGAAATTGTTGAACAAGACCGCCTTGGTGGCGTTTTTTCGTTGTTTCGAATGTTCAATCTAACAAGTCAACCGGACCCCACATGCTCCTCCCGTGAACACCTGCGACGACATCCCAATGCTTCTCATGCAGCGTGATATTTAGCACGGAGCCTCTGTGGGCCACGCTGGTATCGGCGCTGCTCTTGAAAGAGACCATGGGGCCGAATGCCCTTGTTGGAGCGGGCGTAATTCTGTTGGCGTGCCTGGTTGCTCGAAGCGAGCAAATATCGGAGCTAGTGGGCATGGGGGAGGGCAAGGGCAACGACACGCTGATGGACAGAGAAGCAACGGATGCGGAAGAAGGCGCGGAGGAACCGTTTCAGCTGCAAGAAACGGAAGAAGTTAACGACGACGATTTCCCCTCGTCCGTGTTGGACGAAATGGTGGGCGTGACGGAGGAATCAGACTCGGAGTCGTCCTTCCGCATGTCAATGGTGCAGGAGAGCACTGTGCCGGGTGGTGTATACGGGGGAGACCCCGCGTTCGCGGGAGAAGAGGGTACCCTTCGCAACAACGGCAACGATATACCGGCGGCGACCCCGGTGAGGTGGTTTGGGTCGTACGGAAAACACAAGGAAATGACTTGATGAAACGTGGTGCAGGCTTTTGCGGCATGTTCCACGCAATGCAGCCTCTGCTGTCGAGAGTCTCCAAGGGGTTGGTCCATGTTAGACAGACGTGTTCTAATGAAGGTCATACGATACAATGAATGCTTGATGTCATTGGGGTTTAGAGTCGCCAGCTCTCCTCTAACATAGAACATTGTTCTTGGTTTTGCTGGTGACACATTTTGGTTTATTTGGTGTTTTGGGGCTGGTGATTTGTTGTAGACTTTTCGAGTGAAGTTGTGGTTGTAGGCTATTCGAGAAAAATGCGAGCGATTCTGCAGGCTGGGGGAGGGTGTCGTTAGGAGCGGCACAGGCGTGTGTTTCCTTTGCTGTTGTACGCATATTATATGAAAAAAACAGACATGACAAAAAAGTTGGGAGTTATGTCTATCGTGACCTTGAAGCGGCACTTTACGTCTTCCGGTTGTCTTGCGCATTTGTTGTGATGAACGGCTCGGGGGTTATTTTGTTATTTTTGTTTTGCCACTGGTTTGTCCATCCGTGTACCGTCATTTTGTGAGTTCTTGAAGGCGAATGCCTGCTTGGCGAGCCGCAACAACGTAGTTTTTAACAGAGCTGTGCACGAAACCGACATCATTTCTCGTGGTATCTGACAGGGTCGACATTTATATGCAGTGTGGGGAGTAGATAGTTTATCGATTGGTCGACGAGATGGTTGCGATCGATATTTCGCGTTTAATAAACGGGTGTCCTAGAAGAGTCGTTGTAGCCAACAGGGGAGTGGGTTGCTACTTGAGCGGAAGCAGAGTGTTACACGGACTGTAGTTAGTTACAGTACATAGTTGCGACCAACGATTTCGGTTCTCATTGTCACACAAGCGTGGCGTCCATGCATGCATACGTCAACCAACGTGACCTTGGAGGCACAAGGGAGGACGGAAAAAATGTTCCCCAACCGAAAGTTTGGGTTTCTACAACATCCCGGCTGAGAAAAACGGATGCGTACCAGATTCTTGCGACAGCAAAAATTCCTCGCGAAGTACCAGGCCGCGGCCTCTTGGCGGTGACCGGGCCTGACCATCCATCCGGACACAAGGGGCACCGAGTAAGTCTTAGTCTTCTCCCGGCTCGCCTCGTCGAACCCAACGGGAGATAGATGCAGCCGTGGCCCACGGCAATCTAAGAATATCGCCCCGCGCGGGCGAATGGTATTCACACGGCCAGAAAACACCATGGTTCTATCGCTGCGTGGTTGTTCTTGTTGTTGTTGTCTTCACATAAAAAAACGTTCCGGTCTCCCACTCAGTACCTTCTAATGTCCGTACTCTGGTACTGGTCCAAATGACGCGGACGCTTTCCGTGTTCACAAGCCAACTGCCCCACCAAAAGTTGCGATCGGTTTCTTTGGCTCCGTTGCGTAGAGTCCATGGATTCCACAGGGTACATTTCATTCATTCCTACAAAAAGACCTTCAGCAAAAAATGTCATGTCCCTGGATCGCCAAAAGCTGTACTTATTGCATTACACGCTGCCATCTCTCCAGCCGCCAACACGTACTGCTTGCTGTAGGAACCACGACACGCCAAAGCCACCACGTCAGCACATCGCACTCACCGCATCACGTTGCGCCTTTATTTGGAAAATGGTTGCATTCATCACGCCGAAGTGCTCGGCAAACTTGCTCCCTCCATGCCGACAATCGACGACGTGCATCACACAACGTTACAAGCTCACGCTTTGCAAGAGTAACCCACACCCACATCCTCAATAAAATTACCAGGTACTGTACAATGATATGTAGCGGCGTGCTCTAGGAATCAATCACTCTTCACGGTCGGAACACCACAGCATAGACACACCCACATTCTCCCGTACCAGGTACTGTACAATCAATCCTAATCTCTTGTGTTCTCCCCCCTCCCCCAAACAACAATTCAACGACAGGCGGCGTGCTCTAGGAAACGATCACCCTTTACGGCTGGAACGCCACACCACAGCGTCGACACAGCAGGAAGGATAGCTTGCCTGTTTGATTTTCTTTGACAACCAAGAATCCAAGCCACCCTCCACCATTACCACGCGGCGCTCCCCTGTCGTCGTCAAAACAGATCCCACACCACCACCAGATTGAAAAATAATATTCTACACCATCACCGCACTAAATCTCAGTCATCACTCCACGATATTATACATGCCACGGGTTTACCACGGGGTGCACGTTTCAACAAACACACGAGGTTCTGCCATGCGGAGACCGGGCCCAACACCTACCCTTGAATTGAAACCCCCTCCAACAACGAGGAAGTCCATCTGTTATACAGCAGTACATATTCCAGGGAAGCGTCTGTTCGTTTTCTATCATGGCTGTAGACGGGATACATACGCGATCCATTAAAAAACAGAAACACAAGACAGTCTGAAGGATGCAAAGCCGTGTATCACCACATACATGCAAGCGAGATGGACGGACGGAAAATAGATAAGTAAACGCGGTAAATTTTTCCCTAAACCTTTCAAATGGGTACCGTAGTACGGTCAACAAACGGGTCACACACTCAATTAAGTAGTCTAATGTTGTAAATTGGTTTCGCGACGAGTTTCATCCACTAGTACCGTACCCACCAACACCACAAACGTACGAGGGCACCCAACAAACGACACCACAACACCGACACCGATATCAGTACAACCCCCCACGCTCATCTTCAGTCGGCTAATTACTGTACAAGAAGAGATATGGACTATAGTACTGCCGCAAGCGTGCGGGCCCTCCCCAGATGAGGCATCACGCCGAAGAAGAATCAGCAGCCTCGCTAGAGGGCGAGGCACCCGAGGAAGAGGCGGCCATGGCCTCCGCAGAGGGGACGGCGGCGGAGGGGGCACCAGCGGAGACCGCGCCCTCTCCAGAGGATAAGGCGTTCAACGCCTCCTCAGAGGCGGCGGCGGCAATCGCGATCTTCGAGATCGACACCGCGCCGGCGATTGCTGCCGTTGTCCACAGGCTGTTTACGTTTGCGGCAGAGGCGGCGGCGGCGGCGGTGGCGGCGGTGACTTGGGCCTTGGCGGCCACCTTTTGCGCCAGAGTAGCGCGGACCGATGCGAACCACGGGTACCCGGTTCCCACTTCCTCCGTGGCGCAGAGGGTCTCCAGGATCTAGTGGAGGGAGGGGACAGGGGGGACGAAGACACGCCACAATGATCGGATCGTTTCGAGTGGGGGGATGATAAGACCGAGAGATTAACCACCAGCAGAAAAGAGCCCGATATTGGATGTAGGCTTCGGGAGCCTTCTACTCCGATTCCAGTGCTGTAAATCAAACGAAAAACGACTTCTACACGAACGGGACGCTTATCGCATAAGCCACAATCAAACAGGGTTGGTCGATGTCGACCGCCTGACTTTGAAGCTTGGACGCGTACTGAGAGTACATGAAACAAGGCGGAGCCTCCCTCCCTGTTTGCCAGGCGACACCTACTCTCTGGAAATACTGAACTGGTACACGCTGGAGACACCGTGTACACAACAACACCTGCTGCATACTCCAATCATGAGCACCCCCTCCCCCCTATGCACTACCATATCCTTTCTTGCCCGCGTTTCTCATACCTCGTCCTCCGGGATGTCCGCCCGGAACTCCGTCAAGAGTTGGGCCGTAAACAGGTCCATGGACTGCCGCAGGGAAGAGGGAACCGCGCACGGCAAACAACTTCATTTGTTGGGGTGTAACGCTGCTTGCACCTTGCTCTTGTGTTGTGATTGGTGGCGTCGCCATGATGGTATTATCAAAGCAACACGCCTTGTGCTGTGCTGTAAAGGACGGAGAGGGAGCCGACCGTCCGGTTGCGGACTCACCAAACAACAGGGATCTAAGCAACAATTATGCGAGGAAACACTGCCATGCCGCCTAGGATTCTACTTGGACGTGCACGCGATACATGTACCACCTACAGCTACGACCTCTCCTGTACCGTAGTCTGCTGCAGCCATCTTGAGCCCAGACCGCTTGACCAACGTCATAATTTTCTGCTCGCAATGCCGGTACATCCTTACTTGGAGAACGGAATACAACCGAGAAGAACTACCGTTCATCCTGTTTCGACGGAACCTCAGGGAACAACGAAAAATCAGTCCGTGTTTTCTCCTCCCTTGCCCCTCGCTCCAGCCACACACGTGACGACCTTCTCCGTATGTACCTTGTCCTCCTCGGGCATAGCGTCCGCCGGGGCACCCCACGCCTTGCGGCACTTGTCCTCGCTCCAGCCAGGCCGTGGCCCGAGCGGGGGCAACGGGGGCAGCACCGCCTGCCACGAGCAAGAGAGAGGTGCGGAACAGCAGCAGTGAATCGCAAGCCGCCCTAATTCATTGGTTCTGACTCGGGTCTTGTTCTAGCAACCCCCCCGCCCTCCACATGTCCAACTTCACAGATGGTAGAAGATACCAAGTGTGCCACCCGGCACCCGCCGACAGGAGTCTGCAGTACCACTGTAGCATAGCAGATCGTCCATCGTCACGGAAAAATACCCAACAGACCAACATCAATACGGCTTCCAAAACATTCATGCCGAGGACAGCAGTGAGAGGACGCCAAACGCATTTACAACAATCGCACCATAGAGCACCGCTCCGTAAACGCTGACCGTTTGCTCCACAACGCGAGATATGCAATCAAGCACACGAACACGGACGTGGCCTTCTTGTTCTTGTCGTGAAGCGCAACAACGTGTGTGTGGTGATTCGATTTCCGCAATGCGACGAGAGTGTCAACAAACCTCATTTTACTTCATCTACATCAAGGCACGCACAGCAAGAGGTAGCCTTGCCGCTACAATCTCCACCTCCTCCCACATCAAACCTTCGAGCAGTCGTGTTCGTTTCTAGGCTGTACCTCTACCCCTCACCTGGAACTCCGTTCCGATCCGCGGGCTCTTCTTGGGGAACTGCGATTCCTTTCCGCAGGAGGCGACGGTAGTGCAGGCGGTAGCGGAAGAGGTTCCATCGACGCCGTCAGGGGTCCACAGCAGAAGGCACGGACCGGGCGGGAAGGAAAACGGACAAAAAACCAGATCGGCCAGGGATATCAGATGGAAGTGGCGATGCACGTGCATCACCTGACCTCACTAACCTCCGGACACCAAATAAAAATGACGACAGCAGCAAGAACAAGAGCAAGAGCAAGGACTAGAGGACGACGGAAGTAACTGCACCAGAGGTAGAATATGTGTCCTGTTCTACGACTGCTCGAAGCATGACAACAGTGAGAGCCAGGTGCCGTTAGGTCGTTTGGGCCGTTCAGCCAGCCAACGTGAAGTTGGGGAGGCAGCACAATCGATGATGGACTTACTCCCGTTTGCTACAATGTACTGACATTGAATGCTCCCGTCCATAGTGCGGACGAACAAACCAGGACAAGTACCCCAGCTACACCAACCAACACCGCCATCATGTCTTGCAAGCTATTTTTTTCCTTGTCGTTTCACGTTTGCCATTTTACAAAAAGCCTCAATTCATGTGCGACATTACTTACCGCCTCGGCCGCCGCCCTGGGCACCTTCCGCTTGCCCGTCCCCTTGCCCTTGGCCTTGGCGTTTCCCTCGGCCTCCTCCGAAATCTTCGCGGGCATGACAGCATTGAGATGAACCAGGTGCCGTTAAGTTCGTTTGGGTCAGTTAGCCCGCCAACTTCAAGTTGGGGAGGCAGCACCATCGATGATAGATATACTCCTGCTCGATACTGACATCGAACGCTCATGTCTATTGACAAGGACGAACAAAACCAGGAGGTTACCCAATCCAACAATCGACACCGCTACGCTTATATCACCTCTTGCAACATTATTTTTCTTTGTCGTTTCAACTTTGGCTCTGCACGAAAAGCCTCCTTTCTTGTGTGATATTTCCCGTTTGCTCACCGTCATTTGTGCCATCCTCCTGGCCATGCCGGTGGCCGTTCCCTTCCCGCTTGCGGGCGAATTCCTGGGTCGTGCCGCCATGGTGGCCGCTATCGTTTCGGCCGTCCTCCGGCTGAGCGTGGAGCGGGGTGAAGCGTGGGCAAGCGAGTACAATGTTAATGTTCAGACATAGTGACTGAAGTGTTCGATCGTTGGGGTTACAATACACATGGCCAACAGGTTCGTGAATGTCATCAACATCGGCGTGGCACGGAAAAGGGTGAAATGGGCTCGGAGAAACAGACCACCGGTCCCCGATAGCGGTCACGAGAGGCCGGCCATCCACAACGTACCTCCAGGTGGATACTTCCACGATCGGTTTCCTGGCGATGCGATCAAAGACGTGCCAGTGCCTCTTTCCGTGACCCGAGGATCCGATCGGGCACGGGCTGCATTCGGGAACTTCGCACTCGCACACGACTTCCCCCCTGCAAAAGGAAGAGGTAGCAGAGGAGAGCAGAGGCGAGGGGGGCGGGTAGAGGCGAGTGGTCACAACTCAACATTTTGGGAGTTGTGAGCGAATGCTTGTTACAGCTGCTACCGATGAAACCGCCGCCTACAAATGCCGAATAGCGCCTTTGGTACCGTGGTGCACATTTTACGGCAACACACTAAGTTGAACAAGGTCTACTGCTGTTGTTGTGAATGACATACCGTATATGACACAAGATAACACACCCCCTGGGCCGATTTTCAAAGCTCGATTTCTCAACAGCAGGAAGAGTCACAGCGCCGAAAGAGGCGGCGTTGGAACCGTCTCGTCGAGAGGTTTTCGAAAATGTATTGTTTCGTTTATGCATCCTCTTCGTCGTGGAGTAATCGAGCTTTGAAAATCGGTCCAGGGGGGGGGTGTTATCTTGTGTCATATACGGTATTACTCAGAGGGATT